AGACGGTCATTGAAGCTCACCTTTCTCACCGCGGTTCTTTGAAAATACCTTGATATATTGTTTATTCTTAATGCACCTTTTTCCTCCTTGTTTGCACCTTCTTTAATTACTAGGCCAATATGTGACCAGTGAATTTCTGCGCTGTGAGATCAATAAAGCTCATCTAATCTAAAATGGCCGAGAGTCGGCAGAGAAAAAGTCTACGAAGTGCATGAGAAGGAGAAAAAACCTGAGGGAAGTCGGCCCCCACCTTCTTCAAATCAGACAAAATTAGTGTCAAACGTTTGTGCAGCAAAAATTTTCGTTTGTGCCGCTATCGTTTTAAAGATATAAAGAAATATTTCTAGATATTTCTATGTCTTACATTTATAAAAATTGTCTCGTTACTTTAGTTTTGAATCATTTCAATGGAGTTACCGTTATTATTTTTCACGTCATCAATACCAAATTCAATCTAATTGGATGGGAATCTACGTTGCATTTGACGCACCACTACAAGATGAATCGACAGATTCGGCGGTATTCATTGGCGGCAAATCATTGCAGCTTGGTGGCGGTGGCGTTAGCATAGTAGCATGGACGACGAGATGATTGAAAATGAACACAACGGAGATCTAGTCCTATTGGCAGACATCCATTTAAAATGTAGGCAACGGCATGAAAAAAGTGGTTTCTACTTTTACTTTTATACTTTAAGTAAATTTACAAGCCTGTACTTTGTTACTTTTACTTGAGTAAAGAAGTTTAATCAGTACTTCCACTTTTACCAGAGTATTTTTTAACACAAGTATCTGTACTTTTACTCAAGTACGGAAAGTGAGTACTTTTGCCATCTCTGGCACAAACGAAGCACAAACGAAAACTTTTGCTGCACAAACGGAGCTGAGTTAATTGACACCAATTTTGTCTGATTTGAATAAGGTGGGGGGGGCTGGTTGACCTTTTGACCTTTACGTTTTCAAAAATATCTTCAAATCCAAAGCAGCACAAACGAAAATGTTTGCTGCACAAACGTAGCACAAACGTTTGACGCTAATTTTGTCTGATCTTAATAAGGTGGGGGGGCCAACTTCATTCAGGTGAAGAAAAAGGCCTCAGAAGAGGCAGATGTATCCCAGAATGCTTTGCGCTGAGAGCTCCCCCTCGCAAAGCAGGGAGGGGGAGCAGCCATAGGGGCAGCAGCCTATGGCGGCTGTCGCCATAGGCTGCTGCTACAAGACAGCGGCGACTAATAACAAAGATGGCGCAGGCAGCGTGCAGTGGAGGAGGAGTTCCGTTCCCAGTGGGGAGTTAAGAGCAGAGATCATCTGTCCGAACGGTCAGTTAACTATAAAGTGATTGATCGATATAGTGATGGAGGGATTTAGGGAGGACATTCGGACAGAGTAAGCTTGTATAGAACTTTTAAACAGAGTGTGCACGAGGAGAAACAGGCTGCTGCATGCATTTAATAGGCGTTCCCTCTCGGTAGCGGGTACAGGGTTGTGCATGTGCATTTTTCTTTAAAGTGTAGAGGGCAGTTCTTTCTAAAAATTCGCAAAAATCCTCCTTAATGTCTTTATTGAAGAGTGTTTTTATTTCATTAGGATAATACAACAAAATATCTTGAACTGCGCCCTAGTTACCAGGATTTAAGTTTTGTTCTTAATCACCAACCAGTAGCCAATTCAGTGAAAACCAGAGATTGGATGCTGAGATATTGCTGCCCCTCCTTTTCTGAAATGCAAATGCTCAAATAATTAGTTTATACTTGGAATATTTGTAATTTTCCGTAGGAATGGCAGCCATAGTGGGAATTAAAGGCAGGGAATAGCCCTGATCTCTAAAGTCAGAGTACCAACCTTAAGAAGCATTGTGGTAGAAGTAGATCCCATAGAGTGTTTCTGTCTAAGTTTGTTTTGCTCCACAATTACAGGTCAGCAGATTAAGGGACGTAACGGTACATTTAGGACGCAGAAAGAAGAGTTAAACATTTCCTCCTGGCAGATAGATTAAGGTTTCTGGTATTACAGGCTAACAAAGAAACAAAACGACCCCCATTCCAAAGGGTCGGATCGCTCGTCAGGTTTAATTAACATGTTTTCTAAACCAAAACAAGGCTTTGCTTTGGTCCACCCTATAAAACCTGGAACTCAACGCTATTTCTGAAATTTTGAATTGAAAAAGCTTCCTGGATAGAAAGAAAAACGTCTTTAAACTTGTAAAAAAAACTCCATTGGATTGATTTTTGTAACTATTTTGGATAGATTAAAGGTCTACAAACCATTGAATGATATGAAACTAGAGAAACTCACCTTTCTAATGATGTGAAGCACGTTCTGTAGCACCTTGTTCACCGCTCCACACCAAGAAACCAAAGAACTACAAAGCTTTAGATCAAAAATAGCTTTCTGCTTCTTTTTCTCAAAGATATATCATTTATAAAACATGCTTTGAGTTTTGTTTTACTCATTTTATGACTTATTTAACCGTGCAAAGCACATATAACCCTCTAACAGCCCATATAACAGCAAGGGTATCATAGATATTACGCAAGTTTCAAAGACATCTATCAGCTCGTTTGTTTTTTTTTTACCTGATGTTTATTCAGAAACATGAACAAAAAAGTTTAAAGCTGAAGGTGTCACAAAATTATACAAATTCAAACTTCTATGTTTGACATAGAAACACAACTTATCTTTGTGCTTTACCGTTAATCCAGAATCACCCAAGTTTTTTTTTCTCTACATTTAGTTAAAAAAAGGATCTAATTCGTTTTTTTTTGTTTTTTTTTGTGATTCCTTTCTGTTCACGGTTCAAAATTTTGATGCTTAACAGGGTAAATGTTCTACAGTGAAAATCAGCTCTAATTAAACAATCTTATGTTAAAACATTAAAAAGAAAAATGGGTTTGTTTTGGGCTCCTAAAATAGCCGCTCAGCTGGTCGATTAATTCACTAAAACTTCAGGTGAATAAATTAGATAAAGTTCTAGCAGCGGTGGTGATTTATAGAGTCTGAGGCGTCTGCTTGGTTTTTAAAAAGGATTTTCAGGTGTTTCACAGTTTATTCAGAATCAGAAAAACAAAGCTAGGATCAGATCAGAGGTTTTCCATATTTAATCACCAATAAATCAGATAAAGCAGCAGTTCCACTTTATTGATATGTTTTTATCTCAAACCTTTACACAGCCACCAACAGTTAGCATTTAGAGCTAATAACTGGATTGATTGATTGACTTTATAGATCTCACATTGGTGAAATTTACTCCTTAAATCAGTTCAAATAGTCAAAGAAGAAGAAGGTGCATGGGATAAATATACAGTATATACTAGGAATCAGAATCAGGGTTGCACCGATGCCGACAACAGTATAGGGCGGGGCAGCGATCCAGCACTTAAAATGGTTTTATCGGTATCTGTGAGCACCAACCAATAGGGCACCGATACCATTTTGAGAGCCAAAAGTTTCTTCAACTATTTTTACCCATTCCAGGTAGGCAATAAAAAGTTCTACTGGATTCACTTTGTTTTAGTCTTTTTCCTGCTTCACAAAGGTAGGAAGCAGCTTGACATGAAGCCATGATGGCAATTATTTTACATCCAGGTAGGATGAAGTTCTTTATATACACACTAGAGACTGACATTTTTTCGGGAATCCCACGGGATTCCCGTGGGATGGGAGTCAGTATTAGTAACAATCACGTGACAGGATAAAACATTAACGGGAGCAGACGGGAGCGGGAACAAACCAATAGTAACTAAAAAAAATTAGGATTGATGCCAAAAAATAAAGTAGAAAAAAAATCCAGTGCTGGCGCCGCCATTTTGTAGTTTTTTTCCTTGAAGTCTACACTATAATGCGAGTCAAAAAAACTACACGACTCAAAAACCAACAGTGCTTCCGATCTGAGTTTTTCACCCGCGCTCAAAAGAAATTCAGATTCAATGTATTGGCAGAAATCTTATTGAAGACAACAAGAATGGGAGCGGTGCAGGAGCAGGAGTCATTCTGAATGGGAGCGGGAGTAATTTCACCAGGAGTGGGACGGGACAGGATTTAGATTTCTACTCTGGCCCGGGATCGGGACGGGACAGGAGTGAAAATCCACTCCCGTGTCAGTCTCTAATACACACACATCAATTTCAAACAGATGTATCGGTATCGGCCAACACTGCACAGCCAGGTATTGGGTGTCTAGGCCAAAAATTGGCATCGGTGCAATACTAGTGTGTGTGTGTGTGTGTATATATATATATAATTATTAATTATTCTCTATTGCAGTAGTTGTGCGGTTGTAGTGTGGCATTGTAAAGTCTGGTTGCAGCAGGGATGAATAACCTGCGTTAGCGCTCCTTCCTATAAAAAGGTTCTGTTCTTGACAAAGTTGAATTGTGAATTAGCCTCAAAACGCTCTGAGCTGATCAAGTTATTCTGTTTAGAGGCACAGATTTTAGATAAGGTTAGGAAGGGAATCATTCCATTGTTTTATCAAGGCCTTAGCTGTTCGCTATTAAAGTATTTTAATGCGGTTCTTTAAACAGCCGATTTTCTCCACTGATTGGAAGATCAGCAGAGCTACTGTAAAACAAGGCATCTGGTTTTTTTATGCACGAGCTCTGAGCTCATTACTGATTCAGCCAGAGAAGCAACCATCAAATCTGTCGACGATCTCTCATCTCTTTGCATATTTCTGGACCCGTTCATGTGGTTCGGCTTCGGAGCTTTGCTGGGTGCTGATTGGGTTTCAGCTCCTGACTCCAGGTCGCTTCATGCATAATTCTGCTTAAATCTTTGGCAGCCTTTTTTAATCAAAGTGTTTCTTAGAATCTAATATCAAAAACATTTTAGAAATACTTTTGACTTTTCAAAGTCAGGCTCTTTTCGTCCATTTGGCTGAAGAAGAAAAAGCCACATCAAACCGCTGATGATCATACATGGTTGAATATTTATCCCTCATGAAGATAACAGACTTCTTTTTTTCTCCTTACTGACTCTCTAACTGTTCTTCTTCTTTTCCAGTCATGCAGAAGAACCCGTTTGTGGTGGACGGCTGCTGCAGGAAAGGGTCCCGTAATTCTCTGCAGGATCTCTACAGCCCCTCACAGGTAGGAAACCAAACACCCACACACAATTCATGCATTCTCCCTCTGCAATCAATAATTAAAAAATACTTTAAAGTATCCTCCTTTGAAATACTTGGCTTAATAAAGAAAAAGACTTTCAAAGAAACTGAACATCCTGGATAGATGTTAACATGTCTGCAGCCTGTCTGTGGTCGCCATGAGCGGGATGAAAACAAAACATTCTTTATCAAATGTCTTTTGTGTTTTCTCACATTTTAATAAAGTAACAAACCTCGATGAATTTAATGAAGGAATTGTCTACTAACCTTTTATTTGGGGCATTAAAGTAAAAGAGATTGAAGACACTACATTAAATAGCACAATTCATTGAAAATAGCATAAAAAAACCCATGTTGTTCCCTGACTTCTGGGGCGCATGAAAGATGGCTGCCATCTTGTGGCGGCCATTAGCCTACGTAGCCAAACGTAACCAATGTGCTGCATATTTTTGTTCAAACCGACATACTGTTGATGTCGGGATTTCCCCTCAGAAGAATGATGAACGTATTGTTTGTGTTTTATCAACAGAATATTACTTTAGTATAAGGTCACCAGGTTTCTGATCACATTTTAATGTTTAAACAACAAAAAGCAAGTGTAAAAGCCTGGAATATGTCTCTTAACGCTGGGAAACAAAGTTCAGTGGATTGTTTTTTAACTTTTTGGGGGGGAAACTTAAATTAAAAAATATGCTGATGAAGATTCTCAGTCCTCCAGGTCATAATCATAGTCATAAAAGTTCAAAAAAATATCCACTGGACTTGGTTCCTCTCCAGGAAGCTTTCGCAATTTAAATGTCTTTTTTTTTTTTTTTTTTTACTTTTACGGAATTAAATTTAAAAATATATATTTCTTGGTTTATCTTTTTAAATTGCTATCATTATTATTTTTTCATTGTTATATTCATACTTAGTTTTTTCTTTGGTAAATTGGGAGCGTCTGTTTTGAGCTTGAAGTGAAAAGAATGAGAAACTTTTGTAGCAGTTATGTTTACAGCTTTAAATCCGTCTTTCAGGCACTTCTTGTAAAAATGAAGGAGACAAAATATATGAATGCTATTTATATGAACAGTGTTTTTGTCATTGTTTTGGTTTGAATGGTCATAATGGCCGTGGAGAAAGTGAACCTCAGTGTTGAATAGGGATGGAACGGTTTATAAAAATCGTCCAAACCGTTCGGTTCGACTGTCTCGGTTCGGTTCATGCGCTGCTCCTTTTTCTCATAGGCGAAGCATTTACACTCCAGAGCAGAAGGTGGCGGTACTGCGACCAAAGCCAACCACCAGTAGTAAACAAGAAGAAGAAGAAGCGAAGCAGCTTAGCCGGGTGTAGCAGAAAAAAATCAGGCCGTTTCTCAATTCAGAGTAATGCGAGTACGTACTGCGAGTAATGCGAGTACGCGAGTACGTACTCGCGTTCTCGTCAAGTCCGTTCTTGGCAAGAACGCAGGAAGATCAGACTTGACGAGAACGCGAGCACGCAAGCACGTATGTGTATTGGAACAGAAGCGTACTCGTGACGTCATCACATGCAACGTTCTTTAGCATTTCTTTAACAGTCAAAACTATTTATTCCCTACCCAAAACATTTTGAAAACAATATTTTTAATTTCTAAAGCTTAAAAAACATAAAAAAAATTACCGAACCGTGGGTATAAAACCAGCAATGGTGGGCCGAAATTAAAGCAAAAAAACGCCATCAGAACGAGCGCTACTTCACACATAACTAGACCGAGAGAAGTGCACTACAGACGGGGTAAATTTAGCCCTGGCTGCGGTTACCCTCGGAGGTCTGCTGGTCACTCTGGTCCGCTCATCGTCTGACTTTTTTTTATTTCGCACTAACGCTGTAAACAGGCCACACAGGGAGGCTTCAATGTATAATGTTATCGCCTCAAACGATTTCAAAGCGTACTTTTGAAGAACAACAGCAGCAGAAAAGGGAATGTTTAACTTACCACTGTGAGCGCTGTCTCCAATCAAGCTGCGGCCGCGGGGCATTCTGGGGAAGCGGTCAGTCTGAAGAACGCACAAGTCTGCTCTGATGCATGCTGGATAAAGAGGGCGGGGCGAGAACAACATCCGGGGATTTGATGCGTTCTCGATCTGGCGTTCTCGAGAATTGGAACGGTACTCGGGCTGAGGCTGATGACGTGCCACGAGTACACGAGCACACGAGAACGCTCAAGAACGCATATTGAGAAACAGCCTCAGTTGTTGTGGAGAATTGTGTGGGTATGGCGAGTGGGAAAGAACAGGAGTTGGAAGACGCGCCAGCAGCACTTTATAGGTCTGCTGTATGGGACCACTTTGCATTTAGAGTGACCTACGATGACGGCCGAAAGAAAGTTGTGGATAAAAGTGCAACAGTGTGCGAGCATTGTGCAACACGTTTTGTTTATGCTAACAGCAACATGACCAACATGTCATGCTAACCCTAAAATCCCTCATACTCCGTCAGCGCTCCGCCCCGCTGCGCTCCAGACCGGCTGCTCAAAGCAAAGCCTACAGCCTCCACTGTGGCTCCCGTCCGCTCCGCTCTGAGTTCCTTGGAGATGGTAGAGGGCATGCGCCAGATGATTAAATTCAAAGCAGCAAAACATGCGGAAATGATCCAGGGTTTCAGCGGATCATTAAAATTAATTGCAATGCATTAATTTTTTGGGGGATTTTTTCATTAATTTCATTAATTTTAATGGGATTTCCGGGAAACAATCAACATATACCGAACCGAAAACCGTGACCACGAAACCGTGAACCGAACCGTGGATTTTGTGAACCGTTCCACCCCTAGTGTTGAAGTTCCCGATGATGCAGCGTTTGGTATTAACATGTTTTTTAACCTCATTCCTGCACAATCAACCTTCTTTCTGTTGTTATTGAACAATAAAGCACAACTTCCAAAGAAAGAAATAGACTGATGTTGTTTTAAGATTTCTGACTATTAGATTTTTATCTTTATTTGTTATATATCTTTTTTTCATGTGAAATAAAATCACCATAAAGGAGAGACTTTTAATGTCAGCCTGCAGGCACTCAGGTACTTTCATCATGTTTTATAGTCAGTTAATTAAAGTGTTTTAGAAAATAATTGTAAAGAGTGAAGAGAGGAATGTGTCTGGATGCGCTTCAGCAGAAAAGACCTGCTTGGATTTTTACTCCCCCAGGAAACCCTTCAGTCCCGTTCAGTTAGTTTATAAAACCTGATGTTGCTTTTACTGTCCTTTACTGGAACGCTGATGGCATTGGCCAGAAGGAGTAACTGATGGGGTTTCAGTAAAGAACAGCAAACTGAGGCGCAGGGCTGCGTCTGCGTAGGAAGCTTCACATCATCCAGGGTTTAGAGACGAAGGCGTTTGATTAGGTGGATTTATTCCTTTTCTCTCTTTGCATTTAAACGGCGCTGGAAAGTCGAGAAAAGATGGAGGAGAAGAGATTTCAAAGGGATGATCGTTCTGGTTTGCTCTTTGATGCAGGAGGCAGAGCTGAACCTGCAAAACAAGAATAAATCCAATTGCAATAACATAAAAAGCTAAACTGTCTCATGACGTGACGAACCAGTTTACTGCAGATTTCACTAATATTCTGCATCACATCTGTTCTGGTTTTAAAAGCCCAGTTTAGACGTTAAACAGTTACTATTTATGTATTTGAATTCTGAGGAAAGGATTTTACAGGTTAGACTGACAGAGGATGTAAACAGACGGACCTTTGGAGGGAAAACAGGCTCTCTTCATGCAAACGACGGAAAACAGGCTTTAAATGTGATGATGGTGAAGATGGAAGGAGGGATGAGAAAATCTAAACAAGCGAACCACTTTCAGGCAAACTGTCCAAGTTATTCCTACAGCGGACTTTAAGACGGTAAAATAGAATCAGGACTCTAACTTTCTAGCTGATTAGATTTAAACTTTGCCAACCTGATAATGATTTATGCCTCAACAGATAAAAGCTTCTTTCTCAGCTCAGCAAGAATCTAATCTAATCTAATCTGATCTCTAAGCAATAACTAAAGTCAGTGTTTATGGAAAATGACTTTATATGCTTCCAGTGAGGTTAAGGTACCTTAGAAATTATTTTAATAAGTTTGATCTATTTTAAGTTCATCTAAATTGTTCCCCAGATGTCTATTTTAAATTTTTATGAGTTGAACACATTTGGTAGCTTGAAAAGTTCCTTTTAATTTCTCCTGACATCCTCTCATCAGTTCTAACTGATGGTGGAGAACACTGAGATTAATATACTGCAGATTACTGGGATTAATATACTGCAGATTACTGGGATTAATATACTGTAGATTACTGAGAATATTTTACTGCAGATTACTGGGATTAATGCACTAAGATTAATATACTGCAGATTACTGGGATTAATATACTGCAGATTACTGGGATTAATATACTGTAGATTACTGAGAATATTTTACTGCAGATTACTGGGATTAATGCACTAAGATTAATATACTGCAGATTACTGGGATTAATATACTGTAGATTACTGAGAATATTTTACTGCAGATTACTGGGATTAATGCACTAAGATTAATATACCGTAGATTACTGAGATTAATATACTGTAGATTACTGAGATTAATATCCTGTAGATTGCTGAGAATATTTTACTGTAGATTACTGGGATTAATGCACTAAGATTAATATACCGTAGATTACTGAGATTAATATACTGTAGATTACTGAGATTAATATCCTGTAGATTGCTGAGAATATTTTACTGTAGATTACTGGGATTAATGCACTAAGATTAATATACCGTAGATTACTGAGATTAATATACCGTAGATTACTGAGATTAATATACCGTAGATTACTGAGATTAATATACTGTAGATTACTGGGATTAATATACTGTAGATTACTGAGATTAATATACTGTAGATTACTGGGATTAATATACTGTAGATTACTGAGAATATTTTACTGCAGATTACTGGGATTAATGCACTAAGATTAATATACCGTAGATT